GTCATTACTGCATCGTATGCCAACTTTATTGACTTGTGACTGTAATAAAATATTCTGCCTCGTCTTAGTTATTATTTGTATCTAATATAAACTAATACATTTTGATGCTTACTCGACACATCTATAACAGTACCATCGATTTTCGAGCCTTTTATTTGATATACGATTCTTTAAAAGCATACCGCAATCTTGATATTAGTTGCTTCTTGAATGTAAATGTAAAGTAACATCTGTTCTCAACTATGTATTCCTATGCTTTTTACCATTCAGTGTCGATTAACTGTTAAGCAATCAGCCACGAGTTTATCAGCTGATATCATAATTTTATTTGTTTTGACTTGCTGAATTTTCCCTACGATCTTTTTGCCTTCGGCAAGAGTAGGGAAAAAAATCGATCTGCTGACACACGAAGCTTTCAGAGGATTTTTGACGTTTTTGAGTCCCATTAGGTGCCCTTTATGGCTGACCAACTTTTCCAAACTTTTCCACGTGGCTTAAGGCCACTTTTTGCCACTTTACCACTTTTTACCACCTTTCTTGTTTGTCGAATATCTTTAGTTGTGAACATCGTAAAAGGTTGCGAATCAATCGAGTGTGTTCATATTATCAGGAAGAAAAACTTTTGTTCAAACAATTTTTACGTCAGATAATAAGTTAATTGGATAATTATCAATTAACCAATTAGCAAAATTCTAAAAAATTTTTATTGGCTAAAAATGATCGGAATAGCTTAAAACACGGAGAAAAGTAGTTTTTAGAAAAATTTGTAAAATTTTTCACTTACATTTTTTTTTCGAGACTTCGAAAAATTTCGAAAATTCAAAATATTTTTTTCCGCCAAAAGTGATCAAATTGCATGAAACGCGGAGAAAAATGATTTTCAAAAAAACTTAGTCAATTTTTCGTTTCAAGAATACTTAAATCACCAATATTTTTAGTTGGAGTTCAGTAAATCTCGGCAGATTTTAGTAATAATCAGGAATTACTAACTCTAAGTGGAAAGGTCTGAAACTGAAAAACGTTAAGTTTAACCATACGATCGCGATATAAGAGTTTCATAACTAATTACAATACAGCCTTATCGATTTTCACAGAAACTGCACCAATGGCACAGTCAAGATCGAAACGATAGCATGTTGTACTGTCATTTTATTGATTTCAATGATGAATCAGTGGGGTTAAGATAATCACATTTGTAATAAATAAAACCTCTCTGTACCGTCAATTGTGCTAATCTAAACCGGCCTACCTGTATTACCAGACCTCTTCTTTTCCTCAACAATCAAACCGAGTTGTTCATATCGCATTTGGTGGGTGATGTAAACTAAGTAGTAATACATATCGAGCTATATTCAATCACAATACGACACAATGCAACACGTGTATATTATATTATGGCCCTTAATTAGGTATATGAAACGTTCTATACCGTACACTTCTCGTTTCTCCCGTGAGAGGCCTGATATGGAGAGTTTTTACAGTTTATCACGAAAACGTCCACTTGGTCTCATGGCTCTTTGACAGCTCAAAGAAGGCAAGAAAAGACCAGAAAGCTTAGAATGTCAACTCGCAAGAGCGGGCTACCGGACAACTGAACCCAATTTAGACATTTAGATTAACCCTAACTCTAACCCTAACCCTAACCCTAACCCTAACCCTAACCCTAACCCTAACCCTAACCAATTAAGCTGATTAGTTAGTGGGAACTAGGTTCAATTGGGTTCAGTTGTCAGTCTTCGATCTGTCCCACATTAATCCCGGGCTGATCATCATGGGCCCCGAATATCCTGCGGGAAGAACCTGTATTTTTACTTCACGACGTCCGGATTTCAAATCAACATCCTCAATAAGTCACATTAACAATCCTTCCTAATCAGGATCTGTCTCTATTAGCAATTTCCAAAATATCCTGAATCTCGTGGAACATTTCACTGAATTAATTATTACCGGTTCTTTACTACCCCTTGCCCGACACTGTACTCGTATCTAAATCTTACCCTTTCCCGTATGTTACCCTTGTTGATTTTACTTTTAGCCGACCCTGACATATGGGGGTGATTTGAGGTATCCCGCAAATGAAGCGGTATGCAGTACAATACAAAACAGTCACAGTAGATGTTGGAAGGTGTGTTTACACTTGCTTCCTGGACCTGGCTGTTCCTCAGTTTCCCTGATCTGTTCTTGCCCTTCTTCGAACTGTAAATGACTATGAGCCATGAGACCAAGTAGACGTTTTCGTGATAAACTGTAAAACCTCTCTATACCGGGTTTCTCACGGTATAAAGCGTTTCATAAACCTCATTAAGAGCCATATAATATACACGTACTGTGTCGTATTGTGATTGAATATAGCTCGATATGTATTACTACTTAGTTTACATCACCCACCAAATGCGATATGAACAACTCGGTTTGATTGTTGAGGAAAAGAAGAGGTCTGGTAATACAGGTAGGCCGGTTTAGATTAGCACAATTGACGGTACAGAGAGGTTTTATTTATTACAAATGTGATTATCTTAACCCCACTGATTCATCATTGAAATCAATAAAATGACAGTACAACATGCTATCGTTTCGATCTTGACTGTGCCATTGGTGCAGTTTCTGTGAAAATCGATAAGGCTGTATTGTAATTAGTTATGAAACTCTTATATCGCGATCGTATGGTTAAACTTAACGTTTTTCAGTTTCAGACCTTTCCACTTAGAGTTAGTAATTCCTGATTATTACTAAAATCTGCCGAGATTTACTGAACTCCAACTAAAAATATTGGTGATTTAAGTATTCTTGAAACGAAAAATTGACTAAGTTTTTTTGAAAATCATTTTTCTCCGCGTTTCATGCAATTTGATCACTTTTTAGTAGAAATATACTATATATCACTATATAGTAGAAAAACTTTTCGCTGACAACTTTTCAATAAGATAATTGGTTAATTAATTAATTAAATAATTAGTAAATTTTCAGAAATTACAAAAATATATTTTGATCAAAAATTTTCACAATTACGTGAAACGTACAAAGCACTATTTTTTATGAGCTTACAAATATGTGGGATGCACAAACTTCTTTTTAAAATGATTTTCCCAATTTTGGCTTTTAAACCATCACTTGTTCATGTTGTTCAGGCATGGCTCCCCAGTGCAGTGGAGCCATGCTTGAACGACAAGTGATATTACAAATGATATTGAACCGTTTCATTTAATACTAGATCACATGTACACTTTTTTTCCGTGCTCAACCTGTACATTACCACGAGGTCTATTAGCGCACACGTGCCTCGGCTTATGAGTTGTTCGCTCATTAATTAATTTACTACCGGTGTCTTAGGTTATAATTACAGAAAAGTAAACGTAGGCTGCAGTGAGCCACAGCTTTATTTATCGGTTTTACTCAGTAATTAGATGTCTTAACATACGTTTGTGATAGAGTAGTCCGAGAAACTCCGTATATTGATTCATTACAGATCTTAACCACGCGTTGACGCGGTCTATTAGCGCACACGTGCCTCGCCGCCTTGGCTTATGAGTTGATCCCTTTTTAATTATTTTACTACCGGTGTTTTAGGTTATAAATACAGAAAAATAAACGTAGGCTGCAGTGAGCCACAGCTTTATTTATCGATCTTTCATCTTACCCAGTACTTAACAATTAACATACGTTTGTGATAAAGTAGACCGAGAAACTTTTCGTTTATTGATTCATGCTACACTGATTCTAAATTTGAGAATGAATGATACCTTGATTCTGGAAACTCACAGAATTTATGATGGCTTGATAGCGTCCTGGCTCTTTTTCTCCTTTCTGATCGGATTCCCGGGAAACTGTCTAGCTTTGAAATATTTCCTCCGCACAAAGAAACGAAATCTTTCAACTCTTCTTTACATAGTTGCCTGTTCTATCGATGTAGGTTCATCCATCATTCACCTTCCAGTTGCTTTTAGTTTACTGAACAACCGAACTCCTGGATTGCTCGGCAACAAAAGTTTCAACTCGATTCGGAATTTCATCCTTTTTTTGCTGCAACAAATGTCCATATTCTTGGTTATGACACTGTCGTTATCACGAGCGATTGTTATAAAGTTCCCTTTCTACAAAGTCAACAAAAGAGCAGTTCTTGTGTCCATCGCTCTTTACCTCCTTTACCACTGCATTTGGAACTGTACACTTTTTCTCCTTGTGGATATGCAATACATCATCGCCCCATCACCTAATGACGTATCCTCTAAACATGATGAACCCCCAGAATATTTATTGTTGAGAATCTTCTACATGTTTAACTACAGCGCTTGCTTGGGAATACCCCCAATCATCGTTTTTCTGACGTTTCTTGTCTCGATTGTTATGCTCCGGAAAGATCCTGTCGCAAACAATGTGCCCCAAAGGAGAAATCAACATGCTTCCATCACCATTACTTACTTCACAGCCCTCTTCCTCTGCTGCAATTGCTTCACTTTTATCAACTGCTGTCTCCTCACTTACACCCTAGTGTCCAAGACATACCCGGGTCCAATATATGATAACTATTTTATGTCTTTATACGGCTGGCTACTAAGTGACGTGTTCTGTACGGTCCTAAACGCTTCTCTAAACCCACTGCTTTATGTTTGGAGGATGAGGGAAATGAGGTTGTGGATTGTTGGAATCCTCCCGAATAGAGCGGGCAGTGCTTCTGGGGTGACGGCGAATTCTAACAATGAAACTGAGACCGAGCTGTAAAGATATTAACCTAAACTGGATAAAATGAACTCAGGAAACGGTCGAACTGGTAACTTTTGATTAACCTGAATTGAATCAAATGTTTTGGCATTTATCAAGTTGCATGTCTTGTGAACATTAGGTCTAAAGTAATTGAAATACTGTCCAATGGTTTCCAGGAAGTCAGAGACTCGAAAACAACTGGTGACAACTGATAAACTGGGCTTTCGTAATTGTCCACTTCTAAGATTATAGAATAATTATATATAATTATTATTGGCTTAATTTAATGCATATTTCAGTATTCGAGTGTTTTGTACGGAGAACTTCAAGATAGGTAACATCCCCCACCACTATCCATACGAGTTCAAGTTAACAGGAGAGTGGACTGCTCAACTTGCTGGAGGCTGCCCTAACTACAGGTACAATTTAGTAATTCAATTAAGTTATGTATTATGTAATTATTTATTTAATTAAGATTTTAGTTGATATCAATATTTGAATGGCCTGTAATAGCTTGAAATATTCTTTGACTTTAAAAAATGAATATTATTATTTTTGTGTACTCCTGAGAATGTCTACGGTTTGTTCCCTTATCCTTAACACAACAATTATGAAGTGCAATTATACTCGTATAGTCACGCTATATAGTGACAAATATCAGCTGTCATTATAAAGTGCTTGTCATAACTCATTGTATAGTGTTGTCACTTGTCACTATATAGTGCGATTACCCCTATCCTTAACAAAACCCACCCCAGCACCCACAAGAACAACCCGACCTACCTTCTAACAGTGGACCCTCACGACTGTTCAGAGACGGAGTGCTTTGTTAAGCTGGAGGCTCCCAAAGCTTTTCATACTGGCTTCTCCATCGTCCCAACTTCAGGTTAGATAGCACGTGACATTTAAGTTTGATGCTCCAATTTGGTCAAAATATTATGTCTCAAGCGTATGAAAATCTGTTCCTTTGTAAAGTGAAACTTTCATCCTCACATCATAATTCCAAATCATTCAGATCAAAAGTTCAGCAAAACGAACTCAGGGAAATTCAGAAACGGAATGTCCGTGAAAATTTTCAAACGTCTACCAGCGGGGACATACCACATAATACCATCTACATTCGAGCCTGGACAGTGCGGGAAGTTCTTCTTAACAGTCGGCTCTACTAACCGTATCAAAATAGCAAGGAAGAGTTGATGATGCCGGTTTAGCAGTTAGCTTGGATTTGTGTGAAGTTTCTAGGGGGTTTTCTAAAGCACGTGCGCTGCAAAACTGCAGTTCAGAATTGAGAAGAATTTGATATTGTTAATTTTAATATTGATATTTGGTTACTCTTTGTACTTTTAGTCAGTGAATAGTGACTGACGTTCGTGCTAATGTAATGTATAAACAGAAAATGAAGTCTCTCTGAGATTTAAAACAGCTCTTTGAAGGTACTAGCCGCGAGGGACTACGGTATAATATTAATAGTATAATACCATTTAAAATAACATTTACCATTTATAGTGCCATTTACATTGTTCAAGTTCTTTAGTAGTTAAGTTTTATTAAGTGTTATCAGAATGAATGCAAACTATGACATTTTAATATAGGTTTATTTAATGTTTGCAATTTCGTAGTGTTTTTAAATTCTGTGTTATATAAATTAGGATACAGTACAGAGGATTAGTCGTATTTTACCAGTATCTTTTTGTTGGTTGTGTGGTTCAAAGATAAACCGATTTCAATTTGACATTTGAATTGAAGAAACAGTATAACTGTGTTGTTATTTATATCTACACTATATTTATATCTACACTTTATATACTGAACTTTATTCCTACTCTTCCGGCCAATTTTATTAAGAACAAAAATCACTATCGTGTGTCAATTATAGTTGACTGACTAATTGATTGCAGGTCAGAAATTCGGTCAAAACTGTAAAATTTCGGCCCTGGAAATTTCAGCTTCAAAAACTGAAAATTGGACAGAGTATTGGACAGTATGATTTTCCAATTTTTTTCGAGATTTTGACTTGCAGTACCCCAATTTGGTTTCATACCATCATCAATTAACTGACTAGTTGGTTTCTGGGCAAACATTTCATCCAACCTGTCAAATGCGTGTTCAGACATTTTCATATCTGAAAATGGGACAGAGTTTTGAAAATACAACTTTTCGTTTTGTTAAGCTTTCTGCTATGAGCTTCCTCCGACCGAAATCAAACTTCCAGCACCTCAATCGTGTCATTTGTCATCTATAGTTGACTGACTAATTGGTTGCAGGTCAGAAATTCGGTCAAAACTGTAAAATTTCGGCCCTGGAAATTTCAGCTTCAAAAACTGAAATTGGGACAGAGTATTGGACAGTATGATTTTCCAATTTTTTTCAAGATTTTGACTTGCAGTACCCCAATTTGGTTTCATACCATCATCAATTAACTGACTAATTGGTTTCTGGGCAAAAATTTCATCCAATCTGTCAAATGTGTGTTGAGACATTTTCATATCTGAAAATGGGACAGAGTTTTGAAAATACAACTTTTCGTTTTGTTAAGCTTTCTGCTGTGAGCTTCCTCCGACCGAAATCAAACTTCCAGCACCTCAATCGTGTAATTTGTCATCTATAGTTGACTGACTAATTGGTTGCAGGTCAGAAATTCGGTCAAAACTGTAAAATTTCGGCCCTGGAAATTTCAGCTTCAAAAACTGAAAATGGGACAGAGTATTGGACAGTATGATTTTCCAATTTTTTTCGAGATTTTGACTTGCAGTACCCCAATTTGATTTCATACCATCATCAATTAACTGACTAATTGGTTTCTGGGCAAAAATTTCATCCAATCTGTCAAATGTGTGTTCAGACATTTTCATATCTGAAAATGGGACAGAGTTTTGAAAATACAACTTTTCGTTTTGTTAAGCTTTCTGCTGTGAGCTTCCTCCGACCGAAATCAAACTTCCAGCACCTCAATCGTGTCATTTGTAATCTATAGTTGACTGACTAATTGGTTGCAGGTCAGAAATTCGGTCAAAACTGTATAATTTCGGCCCTGGAAATTTCAGCTTCAAAAACTGAAAATGGGACAGAGTATTGGACAGTATGATTTTCCAATTTTTTCGAGATTTTGACTTGCAGTACCCCAATTTGGTTTCATACCATCATCAATTAACTGACTAATTGGTTTCTGGGCAAAAATTTCATCCAATCTGTCAAATGTGTGTTCAGACATTTTCATATCTGAAAATGGGACAGAGTTTTGAAAATACAACTTTTCGTTTTGTTAAGCTTTCTGCTGTGAGCTTCCTCCGACCGAAATCAAACTTCCAGCACCTCAATCGTGTCATTTGTCATCTATAGTTGACTGACTAATTGGTTGCAGGTCAGAAATTCGGTCAAAACTGTATAATTTCGGCCCTGGAAATTTCAGCTTCAAAAACTGAAAATGGGACAGAGTATTGGACAGTATGATTTTCCAATTTTTTTCGAGATTTTGACTTGCAGTACCCCAATTTGGTTTCATACCATCATCAATTAACTGACTAATTGGTTTCTGGGCAAAAATTTCATCCAATCTGTCAAATGTGTGTTCAGACATTTTCATATCTGAAAATGGGACAGAGTTTTGAAAATACAACTTTTCGTTTTGTTAAGCTTTCTGCTGTGAGCTTCCTCCGACCGAAATCAAACTTCCAGCACCTCAATCGTGTCATTTGTCATCTATAGTTGACTGACTAATTGGTTGCAGGTCAGAAATTCGGTCAAAACTGTAAAATTTCGGCCCTCGAAATTTCAGCTTCAAAAACTGAAAATGGGACAGAGTATTGGACAGTATGATTTTCCAATTTTTTTCGAGATTTTGACTTGCAGTACCCCAATTTGGTTTCATACCATCATCAATTAACTGACTAATTGGTTTCTGGGCAAAAATTTCATCCAATCTGTCAAATGTGTGTTCAGACATTTTCATATCTGAAAATGGGACAGAGTTTTGAAAATACAACTTTTCGTTTTGTTAAGCTTTCTGCTGTGAGCTTCCTCCGACCGAAATCAAACTTCCAGCACCTCAATCGTGTCATTTGTCATCTATAGTTGACTGACTAATTGGTTGTAGGTCAGAAATTCGGTCAAAACTGTAAAATTTCGGCCCTGGAAATTTCAGCTTCAAAAACTGAAAATGGGACAGAGTATTGGACAGTATGATTTTCCAATTTTTTTCGAGATTTTGACTTGCAGGACCCCAATTTGGTTTCATACCTTCATCAATTAACTGATTAATTGGTTTCTGGGCAAACATTTTATCCAATCTGTCAAATGTGTGTTAAGACATTTTCATATCTGAAAATGGGACAGAGTTTTGAAAATACAACTTTTCGTTTTGTTAAGCTTTCTGCTGTGAGCTTCCTCCGACCGAAATCAAACTTCCAGCACCTCAATCGTGTAATTTGTCATCTATAGTTGACTGACTAATTGGTTGCAGGTCAGAAATTCGGTCAAAACTGTAAAATTTCGGCCCTGGAAATTTCAGCTTCAAAAACTGAAAATGGGACAGAGTATTGGACAGTATGATTTTCCAATTTTTTTCAAGATTTTGACTTGCAGTACCCCAATTTGATTTCATACCATCATCAATTAACTGACTAATTGGTTTCTGGGCAAAAATTTCATCCAATCTGTCAAATGTGTGTTGAGACATTTTCATATCAGAAAATGGGACAGAGTTTTGAAAATACAACTTTTCGTTTTGTTAAGCTTTCTGCTGTGAGCTTCCTCCGACCGAAATCAAACTTCCAGCACCTCAATCGTGTAATTTGTAATCTATAGTTGACTGACTAATTGGTTGCAGGTCAGAAATTCGGTCAAAACTGTATAATTTCGGCCCTGGAAATTTCAGCTTCAAAAACTGAAAATGGGACAGAGTATTGGACAGTATGATTTTCCAATTTTTTCAAGATTTTGACTTGCAGTACTCCAATTTGGTTCCATACCATCATCAATTAACTGACTAATTGGTTTCTGGGCAAAAATTTCATCCAATCTGTCAAATGTGTGTTGAGACATTTTCATATCTGAAAATGGGACAGAGTTTTGAAAATACAACTTTTCGTTTTGTTAAGCTTTCTGCTGTGAGCTTCCTCCGACCGAAATCAAACTTCCAGCACCTCAATCGTGTAATTTGTCATCTATAGTTGACTGACTAATTGGTTGCAGGTCAGAAATTCGGTCAAAACTGTATAATTTCGGCCCTGGAAATTTCAGCTTCAAAAACTGAAAATGGGACAGAGTATTGGACAGTATGATTTTCCAATTTTTTTCAAGATTTTGACTTGCAGTACCCCAATTTGGTTTCATACCATCATCAATTAACTGACTAATTGGTTTCTGGGCAAAAATTTCATCCAATCTGTCAAATGTGTGTTGAGACATTTTCATATCTGAAAATGGGACAGAGTTTTGAAAATACAACTTTTCGTTTTGTTAAGCTTTCTGCTGTGAGCTTCCTCCGACCGAAATCAAACTTCCAGCACCTCAATCGTGTAATTTGTCATCTATAGTTGACTGACTAATTGGTTGCAGGTCAGAAATTCGGTCAAAACTGTAAAATTTCGGCCCTGGAAATTTCAGCTGCAAAAACTGAAAATGGGACAGAGTATTGGACGGTATGATTTTCCAATTTTTTTCGAGATTTTGACTTGCAGTACCCCAATTTGGTTTCATACCATCATCAATTAACTGACTAATTGGTTTCTGGGCAAAAATTTCATCCAATCTGTCAAATGTGTGTTCAGACATTTTCATATCTGAAAATGGGACAGAGTTTTGAAAATACAACTTTTCGTTTTGTTAAGCTTTCTGCTGTGAGCTTCCTCCGACCGAAATCAAACTTCCAGCAACTCAATCGTGTCATTTGTCATCTATAGTTGACTGACTAATTGGTTGCAGGTCAGAAATTCGGTCAAAACTGTAAAATTTCGGCCCTGGAAATTTCAGCTTCAAAAACTGAAAATGGGACAGAGTATTGGACAGTATGATTTTCCAATTTTTTTCGAGATTTTGACTTGCAGGACCCCAATTTGGTTTCATACCTTCATCAATTAACTGACTAATTGGTTTCTGGGCAAACATTTTATCCAATCTGTCAAATGTGTGTTAAGACATTTTCATATCTGAAAATGGGACAGAGTTTTGAAAATACAACTTTTCGTTTTGTTAAGCTTTCTGCTGTGAGCTTCCTCCGACCGAAATCAAACTTCCAGCACCTCAATCGTGTAATTTGTCATCTATAGTTGACTGACTAATTGGTTGCAGGTCAGAAATTCGGTCAAAACTGTAAAATTTCGGCCCTGGAAATTTCAGCTTCAAAAACTGAAAATGGGACAGAGTATTGGACAGTATGATTTTCCAATTTTTTTCAAGATTTTGACTTGCAGTACCCCAATTTGATTTCATACCATCATCAATTAACTGACTAATTGGTTTCTGGGCAAAAATTTCATCCAATCTGTCAAATGTGTGTTGAGACATTTTCATATCAGAAAATGGGACAGAGTTTTGAAAATACAACTTTTCGTTTTGTTAAGCTTTCTGCTGTGAGCTTCCTCCGACCGAAATCAAACTTCCAGCACCTCAATCGTGTAATTTGTCATCTATAGTTGACTGACTAATTGGTTGCAGGTCAGAAATTCGGTCAAAACTGTAAAATTTCGGCCCTGGAAATTTCAGCTTCAAAAACTGAAAATGGGACAGAGTATTGGACAGAATGATTTTCCAATTTTTTTTCGAGATTTTGACTTGCAGTACCCCAATTTGGTTCCATACCATCATCAATTAACTGACTAATTGGTTTCGGGGCAAAAATTTCATCCAATCTGTCAAATGTGTGTTGAGACATTTTCATATCTGAAAATGGGACAGAGTTTTGAAAATACAACTTTTCGTTTTGTTAAGCTTTTAGACCGCTCCTGTATTATTGTTTTAAACTTCCGGTCCAATACTGTGGTAGTTTCGATAATGTCCGTAATTTTTCATTTCATCTCTGGTATGGTTGAGATAGCTTTTTCCAACTTGTATGCTTGGGATTTACAGTTTCCTGTTCTGTTAAACTGGTAGTTAGAATTCCAATTTCCGTTGATTTTAAGTTTCCTAGCTGTAAGGATGGCCATTTCCTTGAGGTTTAAGTCAATGGGCTTGACTCCTGCCATGATTTTCAAGTGTTCAAGTGGTGTGCTTTTGAGTCCTCTTGATATCATGATACTAGCGTGTCTCTGAATTGCCTGCATCTTTGTTTTTATGTATTGGGCTTCGTCTATAATTCTATGCTGCCATACATATATCCAGCGAAATCTGAAATGCCGGTAAATTGGGTTTATTGTCACTCTAATTACGAAATTACTGTTTGGCGTCCCTACAATGGTAAAAAACCGAAATTTTTCCCACAATGGCGAATGATAATGACACCTCTTATATTTATTACTGATAAAATTGTCAAATTTGTAAAATTCCTATGTTACCGGGTAGAAACTAGAAAGTATAACTAAAGAATAAAGTTCCCATGGAAGTGCATTTATAAGCCGTGATTATTTGATAGATTTCAGGTAGTATTGTGTAATATATATTTATTCTAGTGAGTTATATATTACATATATATATATATATTACATATCTATCCATAGACACAGTGTTTCGTCCTATTAGCTTATTAGGACTCATCAGTATGGCTCAAATCATCAGGGTTGGTTTTGCCGATGGCGGGTATCGAGTATCGACTCAGCAACCTTGCGATTACTGGCTCGGCGCCACGCCACTGGGCCACCAAGCCCTTAATGATGAGGGAATTACATAGGTACCAGACTGCTCTACAAACTCATTACAAGTTAGGAGCTTTGCATTTAAGCTGAGCGGTAGATCTATTCATTCCATAGAGTGCTCAAGCTTAGTAAACTAGGCGAGCATATTTATCCATAGACACAGTGTTTCGTCCTATTAGGACTCATCATATATTACCTCTGCTTCTTCGTGCCCGCGCGTTCCCTCTAGCAAGCTGTCTGGAATTATCGCGCTTAGCACTCAGTAGCGAAGGTATTATAGTATTATAATACGTTCCGGTTCCGATTGGGAGGGGTGTAATGTGATACGTGCGCATGATACAATATAGTGTCTAATATATAGAACGCCAGTGTTATTTGTTTTGAAACTTGCCGCCAGCCAGTCTGAGTCTATGCTGATAATACCTTCGCTTCCCTTGCGGGAAAAATGTGCAAATTATCAGCTCTCGGTGTCCCCGAGTTTTAGTGGATATAATTCCCGGAAGGTATTATAATACCTTCCGGGAATTATATCCACTAAAAGTCTCGGACACTGAGAGCTGATAATTTGCCGATATATCCCGCAAGGGAAGCCAAGGTATTATCAGCATAGACCTCAGACTGGCTGGCGGCAAGTTGTAAAACAAATAACACTGGCGTTCTATATATTAGACACTATATTGTATAATGCGCACGTATCGGATTACACCCCTTCCAATTCGGAACCGGAAAATATTATAATACATAATACCTCCGGTTCTTCGGGCCGCAAATTCCCTCCAGCAAGCTGTCGGGAATTATCAAGCGGAGCCCGAAGAGCCGAAGGCATTATTATATTATAACTATGAAGTGGAAGAGGAACATCGAATTCTGGATCTGCACCTGGGAGAGTGCTAAATGCACCACATCAGAGGGGAGGGGCACGAACGGTAGCCTCTGAGTTGTTAGAGCTTTGATAAGGTTAGATCAGAGTTAAGGGCTGTGAAACACAATGGTGTTGCCATAGTTGAGCGATTCAGACTGCACCTGGGAGATGATAAATATATCACTTGAGAGTTAAGGGTAACAGCGTCATAGAGATCAAAGGGGTATGACTATGAGTGGCTAGTCAATATAGTGCGAAGGTAACAGCTGAGTTGGTAGAGCTTTGATGAGGTTTCACAGGTAGATGGAACCACTCATGGGAGACTATTTAGATGTGGGAGCTTGACCTGGGAGAGAGAGTTGTTGGGTGGTCCTATCGAAGGAGTTCTTGTTTGTTCTACCGAAGGATGGTTGATGGCGGACGATTATGGAGTCGCAACCTGTAACTCTGGTTGAGTTATGGTTGGCCTGGAGAGGGATCGACAGTGGACATAGTGTCATGGGTCATGGTGTATTTAAGATAGGAGTTTCAGCGTGAATAAAGACAAGTATTGACGGCCGACTTTATAGTATGTCTGGATATAAGATTTAGTTTGCCCGATAGAGGGTCATTGATGCCGGACGGTAAGGGACCCGGACCAGTTATGGTTAGGTCCTGGAGAGCACGGATGGGGTCTGTCATTACAGGGAGAATCAACGAGGGTTGATTTGGATCAACTAGATTAGGTTAGGGATTAAGCGAGGGACGGTCAACGAGGATTGACCGTGATATGTTGTGTTAGGATAAGAGCATTAGATCTGTTTAATATTTTAGATCTAGTTTAATATTTTGTAACCATCGTTATTACTCTCGTTTTCGTTGTTCGTAACCTAAATTGCTACAAATAATTTATGAATCTGAAGCAAGTGATGACTGCTTACAGGTTTATTGTCACTCTTACGAAATGACAGTTTGGCTTCCCTCCAATCGTAAAAACCCGAACTTTTTCCCACGATGGCGAATGATATTGACACCTTTTATATTTATAACTGATAACATTGTAAAATTTGTAAAATTCCTATGTTATCGGGTAGAAAGTATAACTAAAGAATAAAATTCCCATGAAAGCTAGTCAGCACATCGTGATATGGACCTTATTCATTACCACGTTACCATGTAGGCCTAAATTCCACAGAGCCGCACAATCGCAACAGTTTTCTAGATTATGTGCTCTTAAGCTTCCTCTCAGCCCAACCAAATTTCGCCGCACTGTTCTACACATTGCAGTCAGCAACTAGACCACCATGATGTTCGCATACAGAATCTTGCTCCTCTTGCTTCCCTTCCTGGCATCTGTCCTCTCACATAAGCCACACGTTGCTCTGAAGTTTGGAGATGACTTCCGCAGCTACATAATGATAAACCCCGACATGTCACCTCTGGAGGAGGCAGTGTCGGTCTGTAGTTGGGTCAAACAGCTGAGTCCTACTTCACACGCTGGAGCCTGGATGCACTACAGGACTCAGGATGTTGTTGATGAGCTTACTCTCTCTGATAACCTCTACTGGGCTTATCTTTGTCATACGTTGTATGACCCGCCGCGCACGAAGTGCGCGGCTCCCCCTGTATCGTCAGCGTATGACGACACCATAGTGAAACGACCGTGGGGGTCGCAACGTGATACAAGCTTATCTACAAGGAAGCAATACTCCGCACAGCCAGACAGTGACACCAGTACATTCTCTTATTTCTCAGTGGTTTCATGTATGCCTAGCCTGGTCCGTTAGCAGTGGTACAGTAACGCTTTACCACAACGGTAAGCAGATAGGGTCTCGCAGCACCAGTAGAAAGTTGTCTGTCTCTACTGGCTCCCTTCTTATTGGACAAAATCATCGAACCTACAGGATGGAGGCTACCTTTACTGATAACTCGTTCGGTGGAGAATTAACCAAGCTGAACATCCTGAAACGGAAAGTCTCCAACCAAGAGGTAGCAAAAATGTATAAGTCAGGAGTATGTTCCAACTACGAAGACACGCTAGAAAACGACATACACCTCTCTTGGGAGACGCTGCTGTCAGATGACACTGAAAAACATGGGAATATTGTTAAGTTGAACGTAACTTGTCCTGCCCACACACACGAGCCAACCACTGGGATACCCACCACTGTGGCACCTACAGAAGAACCTGAGGGGGGTTGCAACAATCGCTGGGCTTTCCTACGCTTGTCCGACATTTACAATAAGGTGGAGATAAATTAAAGAAAAGCGATAATTAAGTAAATTCGATAAACAACCTGCTTAGGTCAATTTGATCTTGTATGAATGAAATTAAGACAACCAATCATGTTTGTGATGACGATTGCTAAAGTAAATTTTAAATCAACTTATCATGTCCATACTAGATTACTAGGTAGTACAATAATAATAATATTGTCACATCATTTCAGACAATCGAGAAGGAAATGCTTCAAGACTTGAGAGATAGATGGGAGCTTCTTGCCGAGTTTGATGGCCATCAAATAGACGACACCCTAATAGCACATTTGACAAAACATCACTGTAGCAGCGAGATACCAGGAGGAGACAACGAAACTGAGGAATCTGGTGATTGCAATAACCGTTGGGCCATCCTCCGTTTTCCTGACTTTTTCGAGAACGTAAGAACTTGTAGACGTAGACTGAGCTTTTAAAATATACTTTGACAGTTGTAAATGTGTCAGGCTCCTATCAAGGGGTTAAATACACGACGTTTTTAAATCTAAATATGTTTCGATTTTCAGATTTCTTATCTACATTATATAAGACTTTTTTTGAAAACTAGGAGCTAGTCAAGATGAACATAGCTGTAAATTTAAAATAATCAATTCAAGGTAGTAACATCAGAAATGATCGAGGACTTGAGAGGACGCTGGGAGTTACTAGCTGAGTTTACAGGGCATACAATTGATAATGCTCTAATAGCTCACCTGAAAAAACATCACTGCAAAACTGTGGAATAATTGACAGGTATATAATAAGAACGCTGTATAACTTCTTAGGTAAATTTAAAATGACGTGAATCTTGCCTTTTAGTTTTATAGAATGTCTAACAATTTACCCATTTTAGTTTCTTTCAATTTGTGAGAAACCGCTAATCTAACGGACAGTAAACCTATTTGATAACTTGTTACTTTTCAATTTAATTAAAATCAATAGACTAAAAATGAGATTTAACGCCCGTGTCTCTCCTTTCAGATCTACAAGGTGTCACGTGACACCTTAACCGATCTCTGCTGTGTGTGATATCATGGATCAACAATTGAAACACGGAAAAAAACATTACTTGACTTAACCTTAGATAAAACATTGTAAAAATACCATCAACAGTTTGTGATTTGCATGTGAACTCGAAACCACGATTAAAATTCGATTAGATCAATTTGTGGTTTCAATAACTGAATCATATCCAAAACATACTATTAAAGTTACAATTTTAACAGCTGTTTTGAAGTGCTGGTATCGTTTGAGTAAGTGTTTATTCAACAATCAATCGGTAACAATTTGAATTAGTCGAGTTGTTCTCTTTAAATTATCATATTATCGGGTATTTACAATACAATGTCAATAGACAATGGGTTGCTCTAACAGTATGAGTAACCAGAGCCCTAGCCTTTCGCTTGCAGTAGCGCGCGACTGGGCATCCACCGCCACTTCACACGTCATGTTACAATTACATGAAGCTAAATATGACGGGAAGCACGCTTTCGTTAAGTTTTACTACACGGTTTAAAGGATTTTGTACGAATGTCAATAATTAATAATTCAATTAAATGGTTTTCTCCGATATTTTGTTTTTTTGTAAACTTAGTTGTACCCATGAAATGATATGTGCTTTTTCAAAAAGTTTGGCCCAGTATCAAAATAATAGCCTGTAAATATAATTCGCGTACAATTTTCTGGTGATGGTCTCAGAAACTGGCAACACTTCTTCCTCCGATTTAATTAGGGGTCAAAAACCCTACTGAGGGTCTACGCTTACTAAAAGTGATCAGTCAGACTTGAGTAAATTATAACGATATCATTCTTGGTGATCTCATTAAATGAAAGCTTGCCAAAACATTTTACGCGAATTATATTTATAACTAAGCTTTGATGAAAGGAAAATCATGAACTATTCAGGCTATTGTCAGTTATTGACTTCCAGTACCCCAATTTGGTTTCATACCATCATCAATTAACTGACTGATTGGTTTCAGGGCAAAAATTTCATCCAATCTGTCAAATGTGTGTTCAGATATTTTTATATCTAAAAATGGGACAGAGTTTTGAAAATACAACTTTTTGTTTTGTTAAGCTTTCTGCAGTGAGCTTCCTTCGACCGAGATCAAACTTCCAGCACCTCAATCGTGTCATTTGTCATCTATAATTGACTGACTAATTGGTTGCAGGTCAGAAATTCGGTCAAAACTGTAAAATTTCGGCCCTGGAAATTTCATCTTGAAAAACTGAAAATGGGACAAAGTATGGGACAGTATGATTTTCCAATTATTTCGAGATTTTGACTTCCAGTACCCCAATTTGGTTGCAAACCATTGCCAATTAACTGAATAGTTGGTTTCTGGGCAAAAATTTCATCCGATCTGTCAAATGTGTGTTCAGATATTTTCATATCTGAAAATGGGACAGAGTTTTGAAAATACAACTTTTCGTTTTGTTTAGCTTTCTGCTGTGAGCTTCCTTCGACCGAAATCAAACTTCCAGCACCTCAATCGTGTCATTTGTCATCTATAGTTGACTGCCTAATTGGTTGCAGGTCAGAAATTCGGTCAAAACTGTAAAATTTCGGCCCTGGAAATTTCAGCATCAAAAACTGAAAATGGGACAGAGTATTGGACAGTATGATTTTCCAATTTATTTCGAGATTTTGACTTGCAGTACCCCAATTTGGTTTCATACCATCATCAATTATTTGACTAATTGGTTTCTGGGCAAAAATTTCATCCAATCTGTAAGCCGTGAGTTATAATTATGCAGTGGAAGTGGAACATCAAGTTCTGGTCTGGGGAAGTGCTAATTGCATCACCTCAGAAGAGAGAGGGGCAAACTTTCGTCTCTTAGAGGATTTTTGAGGTTAAATCAAGTTTAATGACGGTTCAGACAGCACCTGTTAGAGTGATAATTATATCACTCCAGGTTGTTAACAGGATAGGATTAAATTAATGTCTGGACAAAGTCGGCCGAACCAAATTTCGCTGCACTGTTCTACGCATTGCAGTCAGCAACCAGACCACTATGATGTTCGCATACAGAATCTCGCTCCTCTTGCTTCCCTTCCTGGCATCTGTCCTCTCTCACAAGCCACACGTTGCTCTGAAGTTTGGAGATGACCTCCTTAGCTACATAATGATAAACCGACATGTCACCTCTAGAGGAGGCAGTGTCGGTCTGTAGTTGGGTCAAACAGCTGAGTCCTACTTCACGCTATGGAGTCTGGATGCACTACTATACTCAGGATGTTGTTGATGAGCTTACTCTCTCTGATAACCTCTACTGGGCTTATCTACAAGGAAGCAATACTCCGCACAGCCAGACACCAGTACATTCTCTTATTTCTCAGTGGTTTCATGTATGCCTAGCCTGGTCCGTTAGCAGTGGTACAGTAACGCTTTACTATAACGGTGTGCAGATAGGGTCTCGCAGCACCAGTAGAAGGTTCTCTGTCTCTACTGGATCCCTTGTTATTGGACAGTATCATACTACCTACAGGATGGAGGCTACCTTTTATAGCTCGTTCGGTGGAGAATTAACCAAGCTGAACATCCTGAAACGGAAAGTCTCCGACAAAGAGGTAGCAAAAATGTATAAGTCAGGAGTATGTTCCAACTACGAAGACACGCTAGAAAACGACATCCACCTCTCTTGGGAGACGCTGCTGTCAGATGACACTGAAAAACATGGGAATATTATAACGTTGAACGTAACTTGTCCTGCCCACACACACGAGCCAACCACTGGGATACCCACCACTGTGGGACCTACAAAAGAGTCTGAGGGGGGTTGCAACAATCGCTGGGCTTTCCTACGCTTATCCGACATTTACAATAAGGTGGAGATAAATTAAAGAAAAGCGATGATTAAGTAAATTCGATAAACAACCTGCTTAGGTCAATTTGATCTTGTATGAATGAAATTAAGACAACCAATCATGTTTGTGATGACGATTGCTAAAGTAAATTTTAAATCAACTTATCATGTCCATACTAGATTACTAGGTAGTTACAATAATATTGTCACATCATTTCAGACAATCGAGAAGGAAATGCTTCAAGACTTGAGAAAGAGATGGGAGCTTCTTGCCGAGTTTGATGGCCATCAAATAGACGACACCCTAATAGCACATTTGACAAAACATCACTGTAGCAGCGAAATACTAAGAGGAGACAACGAAACTGAGGAATCTGGTGATTGCAATAACCGTTGGGCCATCCTCCGTTTTCCTGACTTTTTCGAGAACGTAAGAACTTGTAGACGTAGACTGAGGTTTGAAAATATACTTTGACAGTTGTAAATGCGTCAGGTTCCTATCAAGATTCAAGGGGTTATAAACACGACGTTTTTAAATCTAAATATGTTTCAATTTTCAGACATCTTATCTACATTATATAAAACTTTGTTGAAAACTAGGAGCTAGTCAAGATGAACACAGTTTTAAATTTAAAATAATTAATTTAAGGAAGTAACATCAGAAATGATCGAGGACTTGAGAGGACGCTGGGAGTTACTAGCTGAGTTTACAGGGCATACAACTGATAATGCTCTAATAGCTCACCTGAAAAAACATCACTGCAAAACTGTGGAATAATTGACAGGTACGCTGTATAACTATAACTTCTTAGGTTAATTTGCAATTCCGTGAATCTTGCCTTTTAGTTTTATAGAATGTCTAACATTTTACCCATTTAATTTTAAGTTCCTTTCAATTTGTGAGAAACCGCTAATCTAACGGACAGTGAACCTATTTGATAACTTGTTATTTTTTAATTAAAATCAATAGACTAAAACTGAGATTTAACGCCCGTGTCTCTCATTGCAGATCTACAAAACCAAAAAGTCACGTGACACCTTAACTGATCTCTGCTGAGTGCTGTGTGTGATATGATGGATTAACAATTGAAACACGGAAAAAAACATTTCTTAACTTAACCTTCTATTCGATAAAACATTGTAAAAATACCATCAACAGGATGTGATTTGCATGTGAACTCGGAACCACGATTAAAATTCGATTCGACCAATTTTTTTCAATAACTGATCATATCCAAAACATCCTATTAAAGTTAAAATTTTAACAGCTGTTTTCAAGTTCACATAGCCATGTCACATGTGTCTACGCGTACTGCGTGACTGGTTAACTTTAAGAACTGGTATCGTTTGAGTAAGTGATTATTTAACAATCAATCGGTAACAATTAGTCGAGTTTTTCTCTTTAAATTATCATATCATTTACAATAGAATACAATATAACTTACTTCAATCGTGTCAATTTTCATCTATAGTTGATTGACTAATTGGTTGCGGGTCAGAAATTCGGTCAAAACTGTAAAATTTCGGCCGCCTGGAAATTTCAGCTTCAAAAACTGAAAATGGGACAGAGTATTGGACAGTATGATTTTCCAATTTATTTCGAGATTTTGACTTGCAGTACCCCAATTTGGTTTCATACCATCATCAATTATTTGACTAATTGGTTTCTGGGCAAAAATTTCATCCAATCTGTAAGCCGTGAGTTATAATTATGCAGTGGAAGTGGAACATCAAGTTCTGGTCTGGGGAAGTGCTAATTGCATCACCTCAGAAGAGAGAGGGGCAAACTTTCGTCTCTTAGAGGATTTTTGAGGTTAAATCAAGTTTAATGACGGTTCAGACAGCACCTGTTAGAGTGATAATTATATCACTCCAGGTTGTTAACAGGATAGGATTAAATTAATGTCTGGACAAAGTCGGCCGAACCAAATTTCGCTGCACTGTTCTACGCATTGCAGTCAGCAACCAGACCACTATGATGTTCGCATACAGAATCTCGCTCCTCTTGCTTCCCTTCCTGGCATCTGTCCTCTCTCACAAGCCACACGTTGCTCTGAAGTTTGGAGATGACCTCCTTAGCTACATAATGATAAACCGACATGTCACCTCTAGAGGAGGCAGTGTCGGTCTGTAGTTGGGTCAAACAGCTGAGTCCTACTTCACGCTATGGAGTCTGGATGCACTACTATACTCAGGATGTTGTTGATGAGCTTACTCTCTCTGATAACCTCTACTGGGCTTATCTACAAGGAAGCAATACTCCGCACAGCCAGACACCAGTACATTCTCTTATTTCTCAGTGGTTTCATGTATGCCTAGCCTGGTCCGTTAGCAGTGGTACAGTAACGCTTTACTATAACGGTGTGCAGATAGGGTCTCGCAGCACCAGTAGAAGGTTCTCTGTCTCTACTGGATCCCTTGTTATTGGACAGTATCATACTACCTACAGGATGGAGGCTACCTTTTATAGCTCGTTCGGTGGAGAATTAACCAAGCTGAACATCCTGAAACGGAAAGTCTCCGACAAAGAGGTAGCAAAAATGTATAAGTCAGGAGTATGTTCCAACTACGAAGACACGCTAGAAAACGACATCCACCTCTCTTGGGAGACGCTGCTGTCAGATGACACTGAAAAACATGGGAATATTATAACGTTGAACGTAACTTGTCCTGCCCACACACACGAGCCAACCACTGGGATACCCACCACTGTGGGACCTACAAAAGAGTCTGAGGGGGGTTGCAACAATCGCTGGGCTTTCCTACGCTTATCCGACATTTACAATAAGGTGGAGATAAATTAAAGAAAAGCGATGATTAAGTAAATTCGATAAACAACCTGCTTAGGTCAATTTGATCTTGTATGAATGAAATTAAGACAACCAATCATGTTTGTGATGACGATTGCTAAAGTAAATTTTAAATCAACTTATCATGTCCATACTAGATTACTAGGTAGTTACAATAATATTGTCACATCATTTCAGACAATCGAGAAGGAAATGCTTCAAGACTTGAGAAAGAGATGGGAGCTTCTTGCCGAGTTTGATGGCCATCAAATAGACGACACCCTAATAGCACATTTGACAAAACATCACTGTAGCAGCGAAATACTAAGAGGAGACAACGAAACTGAGGAATCTGGTGATTGCAATAACCGTTGGGCCATCCTCCGTTTTCCTGACTTTTTCGAGAACGTAAGAACTTGTAGACGTAGACTGAGGTTTGAAAATATACTTTGACAGTTGTAAATGCGTCAGGTTCCTATCAAGATTCAAGGGGTTATAAACACGACGTTTTTAAATCTAAATATGTTTCAATTTTCAGACATCTTATCTACATTATATAAAACTTTGTTGAAAACTAGGAGCTAGTCAAGATGAACACAGTTTTAAATTTAAAATAATTAATTTAAGGAAGTAACATCAGAAATGATCGAGGACTTGAGAGGACGCTGGGAGTTACTAGCTGAGTTTACAGGGCATACAACTGATAATGCTCTAATAGCTCACCTGAAAAAACATCACTGCAAAACTGTGGAATAATTGACAGGTACGCTGTATAACTATAACTTCTTAGGTTAATTTGCAATTCCGTGAATCTTGCCTTTTAGTTTTATAGAATGTCTAACATTTTACCCATTTAATTTTAAGTTCCTTTCAATTTGTGAGAAACCGCTAATCTAACGGACAGTGAACCTATTTGATAACTTGTTATTTTTTAATTAAAATCAATAGACTAAAACTGAGATTTAACGCCCGTGTCTCTCATTGCAGATCTACAAAACCAAAAAGTCACGTGACACCTTAACTGATCTCTGCTGAGTGCTGTGTGTGATATGATGGATTAACAATTGAAACACGGAAAAAAACATTTCTTAACTTAACCTTCTATTCGATAAAACATTGTAAAAATACCATCAACAGGATGTGATTTGCATGTGAACTCGGAACCACGATTAAAATTCGATTCGACCAATTTTTTTCAATAACTGATCATATCCAAAACATCCTATTAAAGTTAAAATTTTAACAGCTGTTTTCAAGTTCACATAGCCATGTCACATGTGTCTACGCGTACTGCGTGACTGGTTAACTTTAAGAACTGGTATCGTTTGAGTAAGTGATTATTTAACAATCAATCGGTAACAATTAGTCGAGTTTTTCTCTTTAAATTATCATATCATTTACAATAGAATACAATATAACTTACTTCAATCGTGTCAATTTTCATCTATAGTTGATTGACTAATTGGTTGCGGGTGTGAAATTCGGTCAAAACTGTAAAATTTCGGCCGCCTGGAAATTTCAGCTTCAAAAACTGAAAATGGGACAGAGTATGGCCTTGGGACAGTATGATTTTCCAATTTTTTTTCGATATTTTGACTCAACCCAATTTGTTTTCATACTGTATCATCAATTAACTGACTAATTGGTTTCTGGGCAAAAATTTCATCCACTCTGTCAAATGTGTGCTCAGACATTTTCATATCTGAAAATGGGACAGAGTTTTGAAAATACAACTTTTCGTTTTGTTAAGCTTTCTGCTGTGAGCTTCCTCCGAACGAAATCAAACTTTCGCGCAGCAGCTCAATCGTGTCATTTGTCATTTTCAGCATTTAGATTTCAACGTTCCGTGGTTGGTGGTTGACGGATGTTACTCGTCTAAATTTCTTCGAAGTAGCGCGCGCCGCTTTCTTCTCCATGGCAAGTGCTACGAAGTCGGCGCTACTAATTCACTCGCCATCAATTTCACGAAAAGAGCGATATTTGAATTTCGCATTGGATAAGCGTCTAAATAAACCGCGTGGCGCGTGTCTGCGATAAATCTTTTCTTGTCAAATTGATATCTTCTCTTATTCGATACAAATTTTAACTAGTGATTTTTTGATACTCCACGAACATCTATGAGTGTTGCTTCTGTTCCCGAAAGGTTGAGTTAAGCTTTCAATCCTTTGTTAATTTTTTTGTTCAATTTGTAAGGTTAAAACTCTTTCAGGTCCGATTTCCGAATAGTCTGGTGTCCAAAAGAACTCTAATTGTTCAAGGAGTTAAATTTATTCGGTGTGGGAAAACAGGTCAGTGCTAATTGCTGATCACCTGTCATTTGATTTGTCATGTCATAAAGTCATACGCTTCTTTTCCTTTTTGTATGGTTTTAATGCCAGCTTGATTACAATTGTCATCTGTCATCTGTCATTTGATTTTTCATTAAGTCATACGCTTCTTTCACTTTATCTATAGTTTTAATGCCAGCTGTAATACATATATCCAAGCAAGCAAAATTAATGATTTATAAACTTTTCTTTGTGGCACTTTTCGATGCATGGTACTGTTCATCTCGTTTGCAAGTATTATATATGTATGTTTGTAGTGGTTTTAATGTCAGAAGAACACATATATTAACCTTGAAAGCTTGAAGCAAGCAAGATTATTCAGGAGGCTACTATTTAATTAATTGGCCCCTTAAATGGGGACAATTAGATTTAGATATCATTAAGTAAACAGTACATCTAGTATTCTAGTTCCTTTTATTTAACAATTCAATAATTTCCAGTAGATAGGGACAATTAGATTAAAAGACCATTAAGTAATCAGTACATCTAGTTCCTTCTATTTAACAGTTTAATGATTTCCAGTAGATGGGGACAATTAGATTTAGAGATCAGTACATCTAGTTCCTTCAATTTAATAGTTTAATGATTCCTACTAGATAGGGACAATTAGATTTAAATATCATTAAGTAATCAGTATATCTAGTATTCTAGTTCCTTTTATTTAACAATTCAATAATTTCCAGTAGATAGGGACAATTAGATTTAGAGATCATTATAAGTAATCAGTACATCTATAAGTTCCTTTTATTTAAAAATTCAATAATTTCCAGTAGATGGGGACAATTAGATTTAGAGATCATTAAGTTATCAGTACATCTAGTTCCTTCTATTTAATAATTTATTGATTTCCAATTCAATAATTTCCAGTAGATGGGGACAATTAGATTTAGAGATCATTAAGTAATCACTACATCTAGTTCCTTCTATTTAATAATTTAATAATTTCCAGTAGATAGGGACAATTGGATTTAAAGATCATTAAATAATAAGTACATCTAGTTCCTTCTATTTAATAATTTAATAATTTCCAGTAGATGGGGACAATTAGATTTAAAGATCATTAAGTAATCAGTACATCTAGTTCCTTCTATTTAATAGTTTAATAATTTCCAGTAGATGGGGACAATTAGATTTAAAGATCATTAAGTAATCAGTACATCTAGTTCCTTCTATTTAATAGTTTAATAATTTCCAGTAGATGGGGACAATTATATTTAAAGATCATTAAGTAATCAGTACATCTAGTTCCTTCTTTTTAATAATTTCCAGTAGATGGGGACAATTAGATTTAAAGATCATTAAGTAATCACTTTTTAATAGTTTAATAATTTCCAGTAGATGGGGACAATTAGATTTAAAGATCATTAAGTAAACAGTACATCTAGTATTCTAGTTCCTTTTATTTAACAATTCAATAATTTCCAGTAGATAGGGACAATTAGATTAAAAGACCATTAAGTAATCAGTACATCTAGTTCCTTCTATTTAACAGTTTAATGATTTCCAGTAGATGGGGACAATTAGATTTAGAGATCAGTACATCTAGTTCCTTCTATTTAATAGGTTAATGATTCCTACTAGATAGGGACAATTAGATTTAAATATCATTAAGTAATCAGTACATCTAGTATTCTAGTTCCTTTTATTTAACAATTCAATAATTTCCAGTAGATAGGGACAATTAGATTTAGAGATCATTATAAGTAATCAGTACATCTATAAGTTCCTTTTATTTAAAAATTCAATAATTTCCAGTAGATGGGGACAATTAGATTTAGAGATCATTAAGTTATCAGTACATCTAGTTCCTTCTATTTAATAATTTATTGATTTCCAATTCAATAATTTCCAGTAGATGGGGACAATTAGATTTAGAGATCATTAAGTAATCACTACATCTAGTTCCTTCTATTTAATAATTTAATAATTTCCAGTAGATAGGGACAATTGGATTTAAAGATCATTAAATAATAAGTACATCTAGTTCCTTCTATTTAATAATTTAATAATTTCCAGTAGATGGGGACAATTAGATTTAAAGATCATTAAGTAATCAGTACATCTAGTTCCTTCTATTTAATAGTTTAATAATTTCCAGTAGATGGGGACAATTAGATTTAAGGATCATTAAGTAATCAGTACATCTAGTTCCTTCTATTTAATAGTTTAATAATTTCCAGTAGATGGGGACAATTATATTTAAAGATCATTAAGTAATCAGTACATTTAGTTCCTTCTTTTTAATAATTTCCAGTAGATGGGGACAATTAGATTTAAAGATCATTAAGTAATCACTTTTTAATAGTTTAATAATTTCCAGTAGATGGGGACAATTAGATTAAAAGACCATTAAGTAATCAGTACATCTAGTTCCTTCTATTTAACAGTTTAATGATTTCCAGTAGATGGGGACAATTAGATTTAGAGATCAGTACATCTAGTTCCTTCTATTTAATAGGTTAATGATTCCTACTAGATAGGGACAATTAGATTTAAATATCATTAAGTAATCAGTACATCTAGTATTCTAGTTCCTTTTATTTAACAATTCAATAATTTCCAGTAGATAGGGACAATTAGATTTAGAGATCATTATAAGTAATCAGTACATCTATAAGTTCCTTTTATTTAAAAATTCAATAATTTCCAGTAGATGGGGACAATTAGATTGAGAGATCATTAAGTTATCAGTACATCTAGTTCCTTCTATTTAATAATTTATTGATTTCCAATTCAATAATTTCCAGTAGATGGGGACAATTAGATTTAGAGATCATTAAGTAATCACTACATCTAGTTCCTTCTATTTAATAATTTAATAATTTCCAGTAGATAGGGACAATTGGATTTAAAGATCATTAAATAATAAGTACATCTAGTTCCTTCTATTTAATAATTTAATAATTTCCAGTAGATGGGGACAATTAGATTTAAAGATCATTAAGTAATCAGTACATCTAGTTCCTTCTATTTAATAGTTTAATAATTTCCAGTAGATGGGGACAATTAGATTTAAAGATCATTAAGTAATCAGTACATCTAGTTCCTTCTATTTAATAGTTTAATAATTTCCAGTAGATGGGGACAATTATATTTAAAGATCATTAAGTAATCAGTACATCTAGTTCCTTCTTTTTAATAATTTCCAGTAGATGGGGACAATTAGATTTAAAGATCATTAAGTAATCACTTTTTAATAGTTTAATAATTTCCAGTAGATGGGGACAATTAGATTTAAAGATCATTAAGTAATCACTACATCTAGTTCTTTCTATTTAATAATTTGATGATTTCCTGTAGATGGGGAAAATTAGATTTAAATATCATTAAGTAATCAGTACATCTAGTATTCTAGTTCCTTTTATTGAACAATTCAATAATTTCCAGTAGATAGGGACAATTAGATTAAAAGATCATTAAGTAATCAGTACATCTAGTTCCTTCTTTTTAATAATTTCCAGTAGATGGGGACAATTAGATTTAAAGATCATTAGGTAATCACTTTTTAATAGTTTAATGATTTCCAGTAGATGGGGACAATTAGATTTAGAGATCATTAAGTTATCAGTACATCTAGTTCCTTTTATTTAACAATTCAATAATTTCCAGTAGATGGGGACAATTAGATTTAAATATCATTAAGTAATCAGTACATCTAGTATTCTAGTTCCTTTTATTTAACAATTCAATAATTTCCAGTAGATAGGGACAATTAGATTAAAAGATCATTAAGTAATCAGTACA